AAAATGGTCCACGTGGATCCCTGCTGCTGTCCCCTAACTCTCACACCTGGAGCTAGTACCTGCCCAGTCCTCAGGCCCTGGGCTTCCTGTACCTGACCAGTAGGTCCCCAGCAGTCTATCAGACCTGCCTACTGCTGACCACCTTGCTCATCTCGAACACCACCTGTGCTGGTCCCTCCACCTGGAAACATGACCAGGGTCTCTGAATCAAACTCCCATGGCCTTTGTCAAATCTTCCAACTTCTGATACCAACATGCCCTAAAGCAGAGGTGGGGAACCTCATGTGGCTTTCTAGGTCCTTGGGTTTGACCAAGTCCAAGTTTTACAGAGCAAATCCCTTTATGAAGGAGATTTGTTCTTTGAAGTTTGGATTCAGTCAAAGGGCCACACTTGAGGACGCAGAAGGCCACAGGTTCTCCACCCCTGCCCTAAAGGAAAAGGAATGATTCAAGAAGGTATCAAAGAGAAAAAATTTAGAGCAAGCCTGACACATGGCAGTGTCATAGCCAACTTCTTCTGGTGTTATCGGCATTTTACATATTTTATCATATCTGGCCATGTTCTGTCTCAGGTGATACAACAATACAGTCCGGCAAACAAGACACCCCTGTCCTGAGAGAAGACCAGAAACAGGAAAAATAAACCCTGAAGGCAAAGACACCATGGGACAGTGTCACAACTGCGTCCCCGACATACAAACGGCTCAAACAACAAGGTCTCACTGGCCCAGGCACCACAACACTGCACAGGAAATATGATCAGGGTGTTTCTTAATACGAGTCCTAAAAGCCAGGCTTTCCTCTTGGTCCGTATATGCTGCTGACAAGCCAGGACCAGAGAGCTGCTTGTACTCTCAGGCCTCCTGTCGGCACTTGCTGCCTTCTTTCCTTCGCTCTGAACTTGGGCCTAATACCAGATGCATCCTACCTGTCCTTTTCCCTCCAGACTCATTTCTTAGTATGGAATCCACCTTCAGAATCGTATTCCTGCGTGCCCATTCCTCAAATAGCTAATATCACTCCCCCAGGCCTTTGCTACCATGTTGCAACAGCCAGCCTTTGACTCAATAAAAGGTCTGTACGAACTTGGGGTCCCAGCTGCCCTTCATTTGAACTAACCTGCTCTCACAGGAGCTCTGGTTCTGACAGAAGTATCTTTACAGATAAATGCTATGGTTTTACCAAATGATGTTTCCAAAACTGGGGTATATTTTAAACTGAATTTCAGACAGACAACCTTTAAAGATTCCATTTGATTATGGTTATAATTCAATTGCACAGAGAGTTATTAAGTATCCAGTCTGTGCAAAGGCACCCCTTACTGTAACAAAACAGTTCCCACATTTGATTTCAGCAGTGAAACTGTGGCAGGAAAGCAGCAGACAATTTGTCAGAGTTTGTGGGTTCAAAGTCTGACAACAGACTGCAACACACCACCTGGCCAAATCACTGACACTTGCCAGTTCTCCAACCATAAAAATGGAACTAGTTAATCTCCAAGGTCCCTTCTAGCACTAATTTTAGGTCCTAGGATTTCATCTTATTTTTAAAATGGTCACAACCCAGGATGTCAACTCTAGACAAAAGATGGGAATCAAAACCCAACCACTTTGGCAGAAGTCAAATGAATCCATCTCCAAAACACGCCACACTAAAATAAGTTCAAAGCTCTAAGAGGGACACCCAGCTTAGACTTTAAGAAGCTAATCTTAAACTGCAGCATATTCTCTGAATTCAGTTTTTCAAACACTCATCCAATAAATGTCAAAAGCAGCCCACAAATATTCTGAGAGGATCTTCCAAAGAAAGGCATAGGTACTATTCATTCGACATTCACAAACAAGGCATGTCATTTAACGTTCAATGATTTTTACGGCCTTAGTTGGAGAAAAGAATGGGTACTATGAAGTGGCAAGCAGGTAATGCTAGATTTGAGCCCAAATACCTTAAGTACTAGAAATGCTTCTGTATCTCTTACCTAGGTATTTTAAAACTAACCCTTACAATGAGATTTCTCACCCTCAAAGTACATGCATCAAGCATTTCAACCTCAGCATCATTGCTCCATCTAACAGTCCCCTCCCCAACTCCCTCTGCTCATCAAAATCCTACATCCTACCCTCCCTCACCCCCTACAGCTCTGGCTCAAATCCTACCTCATTCATGAAGCCTTCTGCTGCCCAAACTAATGTGTAACATACACACATACACAAACACACACACCCCCCAAAACCTAATTCGAATTATGATCTGTACCACTTATATGCCACAACAACCTTGGCATCATGTTAGCCATCCATTTGGGAATCTGTCTTCTCTCTCCCTGCTCTGTGTCCTCTGCAAATCTGATGAGCATGTTTACTACATCTTAAACCAACCACAGATACAAATGTTGAATGCTTTTGGGCAACCTTTGTGCCACGCTGGCATCCTCATGCTGTCAAGAGAAAATGAGAAAGAACTCAGCACCCCGGGTGGGTGGGAAGGCCTGAGAAGTGACCAGGCCAAGGCCCAAGCCTAGGGTGGTAAAGGACAAGCAGGCTAGAACGGGTAGTGACCTATGGAACATCTACAGTAGTGAGATCAACCACCCACTGACGTGCTTACACGTGAAGGCATTCCAAATATTTCTCAATAGGCACAAATGTACAATTATTTAATTAGCATTTGTATATCGCTTTAAAAGTTACATATGTTAATTCTTAATTTTAACCTCACCGCTACCCTGGGAGATCGGTGTTATGATGATCGCCATCTCACAGATGAAGAAACTGAGACACAGGTTAAATGATTTAGCCCAGGGTCGCACAACTAGTTAAGTGCCTGAGTCAGGTTTCAAAATCGGGCCTTCCTGACTCCAAGTTCCAAGCTCTATCCACTAAAACATAGATCACTCTAAAATTCAACAGATGCCATGAGACTTTCAAGGTTTTTTTGGGGGAAACACTAAATATGAATAATAAATTCACCTTTTCCTCAAAGTACAGCTTCCTTTTTATTGGTTCAGGTGAGGTCAACTGGGTCATAAAAAAATACCAAGATCATCTCCAGAGAACCATGAAAATCATCTCTCCTAAAATGGCAAAGATTCCAAATCCCTGGTGTTCTAAGTGATTTAGAGATAGAATATGATTTGCAAGTTTCATATTTCAAAAACTTTTCATTTCCACTTTAATCTCATTGCATTAACTTTTCATCCCACTCATTCTTTAGTGCTTAGAAAATTATCAACAAAGAGATAAAGAAGTGGAACAAGTCTTTATGGTCTACCCTCCCCCTTTCCTGTTCCTTTTTCATCATCTGAAAGTCAACAACGGCTTGGAAAGAGCTCAGGCTGCACACCTTAGGCGAGTTCTTCGTGATTCTTCCACAGTATCTCCCAAGAATTCTAAGCAGCAGGAATTCTACTTATTTGCATAATTACTCCAAGTGGAAACAGGAAATGAACAGGATCAGGACTTTACATAATTTCTCCTCCAACATCAAATTATTCTGTTTATTTTCCTGTTATTTTCTTAAACTACATTGTCCGTGATCAACCAACTAACAAGAATTTTATTTAGTGCCAATGGGACAAGAGCTAAAGATAAAAAAAAAGGGACTTACGTCCAAGCATGGAGTTTGTGTACGTGCCCACTGCCCCCCAACTAGGTCTGCACCCCACCGAGATCAAAGAAAGAGGAAAAGGGCTCATAGGTACAAAAACACTTAGAGCAGCTCCAAGCTCGGGAGATGCCCAGAAACCGGGGAACAGCTGAACAAGTGAGCATGCACGACTGTGATGGAATACCACGGCACTGTAAAAAATGGTAAAGGGGATGGTTTCAGATAAACCTGTGGGGTCTCAAACTGATGGAAAGCACAGGGAGCAGAATCAGGAGAACAGTTCACCCAGTAACAGCAATACGTAAAGAGAATCAACTGGGAAAGGCTTAGGAACTCTTATGACCACAATAACCAACCACAATTCTGAAAGACTCACGATAAAATATGCGATCTACCTCCAGGGTGGGAGAAATGACTGGAGAGCAAACTGAAGCACAGCTTCGTCTACTTCTGGCTTTTTCTTTTTTGGGAGGGGAAGGAAACATGGATAATGCAGAAATCTGTTTTGCATGTCTATACATGTTTGTGATGGGTTTTATTTTTCTTGACTTCTCAATGGTTGGGCAAAGGGGAGGGAGGAGAGAATCTGGAACTGACAAAACTGAATTCTTAAAAAGTTTTGAATTTAATAGTTTAAAAATATTGCCCTATTATAAATGCATAGATAAGGCTTTGCTCTAGATCAAAACAACAAAATCTGCAACACAGTACATTAGACAAGGCAGTCAAGAGAATTGTGTTCAAATCTCAACTCTGCTACTTACTGCCCAGGTCAAGTTAAGACTGTTTATTTGTTGAAGAGAGACAGTTTGAGAGGAAACTGTGAAGATTTACTTGGACTGTTGTTGCAAAGTGGAACAGGCAGAAGCAGGAAATCAATGTATGCTATCAACAGCATAGAATGACCAATTTTGAAAGACTTGAGAATTCTGATCACAGCAATCACAACTGCAGGAAAACGCCATCCATCTCCCACTAGAAGGGATGGACTATAGTGCAGAATGAGACACACCTTTTTTAGACCCGGCCAATACGGGAATTTGTCTTACTCAACTATTTATATTGGCCGCAAAGATTCTGGTTTTCTTTCTTTCTTTTTTTATTTCTAGGGTTGGGTGAGAGGTAGAAGAAAGGCAAGAGGGAGGGGAAAAATGAATGTTTGGTAATTCTTAAAATAGTATTTCATTTTTTAAAAGAGCTTATGCTTATTCCCCTGGGGGGGGAAGGTGAGAGGGAGAAAAAGTACTTACTTTATAATTTAAAAATAAAATTTCATTTTTAAAAAAATTAAGACAAATTAAGTCAAGTAAGCCTCAATTTTCTCATCTGTAAAATGAGGAAACTAATGATCTCTGAGGTTATCTTCTGGTTTTAAATCTTATGATCCTAAAAGATATTTTAACCTTTATTTATTAATTAAATGATTAATTATTAATTAATTATCTGCATTGTACAGGCCTCCCCACAAGAACTATTTCCCTAACCCAAGAGCAAGTTCTGAATTTTCAATGCTGAACATCTACATTTAGAAATCCAGTAAAGGCTTTTTTTTTTTAAATCTCTGCCACTGATGTCACACACTGGGCCAATTTCAGCTTCTTCATTTACCAAATGGAGAGATTCTCATCACTCACTACATTATTGCATTTTTGAAATACAAAGTATGGCAGAAACTGTAAAAATAAGTTGAGTATACAACATTCATGTTGGTCCCAGGCAGAAGTAATTTCTTTTTAGCTCTGGTGTACAACACTGGGGAAAAACCAAAGAAATTTTCATATCTGGAAACAGCATCATATCTAACAATTAGGATGGCTAAATAAGCTATGGCTTGTTGACAGAACAGAATACTACCCTATAACAAAAAGCAACAAATATGAAAGATACAAAAATATGTAAGAAAGCATTATACAAATGAGATAAAATAAAGCATAAATAAAACATGCATGTATAAAAAAAAAGCCAGCCCCAAAGTCTGTTAAATACACAGATGAAAAAATCAGAAAGGTACAGAAAAGTTTATGTTTTCATGTACACTTTACAGCTTTGATTTTTGGTTGAAATGCATTAACTTTTAATTAAGTTTTTTCTTCATGAAGAGAAGGCAATTTCACAATTGATTAGCCATAACTGTCAAGAGATTCAAACTGAAGTCACTGTCTGGCTACTCCAACGCCTCCGCAGGATTTCTGAAGGCTCTGCCAGTGGGGTACAAAGTCTGGCCGGCTCTAACAAACTGGAATGGCTTCAGGGATGTCGAGAGCATGTGCCTGCACTAAGCAGCAGAACAAAGCAGCACACAGTAAGCACTTAATAAATGTTCACTGACTGACTAATTAGAAATTCTGGCACTGCCCCATCTGGCTTTCACCTCCTACCATTTTTCTCCTCCCAATAGCTCCTTCACCCTCATGGAGACCTCTCCTTCTTCCACCCCTTTGCATTCTCAGGCTCTGACTTTACTTTCCTTCTCCAACCTTAGCCCAAATTTAAGTCATTTCAACTGTGCTCTGGAGTCTGGGGCCCCTCTCTTTCTACCCCAGCCCTTCCGTGTCTCTCCACCCTGCCCCCTCCCCTGCCCCCACCATGGATGTCCCTCTCTTGTCAGACTTCGCTGCCCGGCACCTCATCTCCTCCTCCAGAGCCACTGAACAAAGCTGTGGCCGACCTCATAACCTTGCTGACTGGGCACATTCCAAACGAAGCAGCCAGGCCTTCTGCCCTCTGATGCTTCCCAAAGGGATTCCCTACCTCAGTGCTCACAGAAGCTTTCAGCCCTCTCCCCCTCCCCACCCCAGGTGAGAACCTTGCCTCTTCTCTCATTCTCCCTCTCTGCAGGTCCCTTGCCATCATCTCCCAGCCTCCCCTGCTGTTCCCTAGTCTCTAATGAATGGCCCTCTATGTGGGTTCTTGATCCCATCCCCTCCTGGCTTCTCCAGCAGACCACATTCTCCACCATGCCTTCTCTCCCTCTCACCTCAGCAACTGATTCTTTCCCTACTGCTTTCAAACATACCCCATCCCCTTAAGGGACTGTCCTATCTTTCTCCTCCCACACTAGCTACCTCCACTTACTCTCACCTGATTAGCCATCACCTCCAGGACCATATATAAAGGCCTCTGTTTGGCACTAAAAGCCCATTTAAACACACACACACACACACACACACACACACACACACACACACTGAGATAAGACACTGAAAAAGTCCATGGGCTAGTAAAGGCCTATGACACAGACAGCAACAAGGTCTACAGCAAACATCCATTAGAGAGCTACAGAATATGTGTGTAAGGGGGGAAAGTCATTACCAAAGAGGATAGTCAGGAAAGGCTTCATGGAGAGGGTAGCACTGGGGCTGGGCTTTACAAGAGGGGTAGAAATTCAAGCAGAGGGAAGAGATTAAAGGCACTCAAAACAACGGTATTTGAAAATAATAACAATGGTTGACATTTACGTAATGCTTGAAGTACTTTCCACATATAGAATAATCCTTGGATCATAGATTTAGAGGTGGAAGTAGCATGATGATAACAACCACAATTTCTATACAGTGCTATGTGCTAAGCACTGTGCTAAGGGATTTACAATTATCTCACTCGAGCCTCACAACAATGCTGGGAGGTGGGTGCCATTATTATCCCCATTTTATAGATGAAGAAACAGAGGAAGACAAAGGGCAAGTGATTTGCCCAAGGTCACATGGATATTGTGTCTGAGGCTGCCTCTGAACTCAGATCTTCTCAGCTCCGGCCCAGTGTTTTCCCCCAGCTGCCCTAATCACCCAAGGAGACTGATTTTTTTCCCTGCTGCCTGACATATCCAATTCACCCCACCCTCAAATAACATTCACTTAATCCTGACCTCTCCTCAAACTATGACCTGTCTCTCTCCTCCAATGTAGTACTACATTCCTACAAAGCCATCTACATAGGCTTCATAACATCCCACTCACTTCTTAACTCCTTGGAATCTGACTCTTGAAACTGCTCTCTCAAAACTAACCAACCCGCTCTTAATTACTAAATACAATGGTCTTTTCCCAGTCCTCAGTCTTTTTGAACCCTCTGCAATTTCTAACACTGTCAATCACCCATTCTCCTGCATCCTCTCCTCCCTGGCCTCAATGAGTCTACCCTCTCCAGAGTCTCCTTTGCTATTCAATAACCATGATTTATTCAGTTGCTATTACTGCAAGGCACTATGCTAAGCCAGGTCACACACAGATAAATTAAAAAGAAGTCCCTACTTTCAAAAGATTTATATTCATTATTCTTTAATCTTACTGGTATTTCTCACTTAAAATCAGTTAACATCAGTTACTAGCTAGTAGAAACCCAATACTTACACAGTTCTACTCTGCAGTGGGAAAAGGCAATGACAAAGCAGCACCAAGGACAGTAAACCAGAACTTCAACCAACTCTCTCCCCACAGATCCAAGTTGACCCAGACGTCATCATTCTGGGGAACTCACCAAAGCAACAGAAAGAAGGAATGCTCCCAGTGGATATCAAAGGTTTCTTAACTAAACAAGAGATAGTGGCAATTACAAAAGACAAAGCAGGTAACTTGGATTACAGGAAACTGAAAAGTTCCTGTACAAGAAAATTAATACAACTAGGTTAAGAGCGGAAGAATTGAATGGGGGGAAAAAATCTTCAATCAAATTTTCACCTAAAGATTTGGTATCCAAGATCTAAGATCAAAAGCCATTTCCCGAGGCAGAGCCAAGATGGCACAGTGAAAGCAGTAACTTGCTTGAGCTGTCCGCCAAACCCCTCCAAATACTCATAAAAAATGGCTCTAAACAAATTCTGAAGCAGCAGTACCCACAAAAAGACAGAGTGAAACAAATTTCCAGCCCAAGACAACCTGGATGATTGATCAGAAAGGTGTATCGCACCGGGCTGGGAGTGTAGCACAGTGTGGCATGGGAGCAGCAGGCCACCACAAACCTGGAGCAGGCCTCAGAGGACTGAATCTCAGGCAGCTGTGAAGATTTCCAGACTCCTCAATTCACCAATGCCAAAGACAACTTAGAAGGTCAGTGGGAAAAGTCTGTTTCTGTCGGTGATGAGAAAGGAAGGCAGGGTTTCAGCTCCATTCCCCAAGAGCGTGGCACTGGGGGGGGGGGCAGCTGCTTCCTGAGCTTCTGGCCCACAGACTGAGGGGGAATCCAGTGGCTGATCAGACAGGGACTACAGGGATCTCTTTGCCAGTGCTGAGGCAGGAATCTCTTGCTTTTCCCATGTTTGGATCTGGGCCACAGTTCTGGGCGCGGTGCTGGGGTGAGGAGGAGGCTGGCGTGGTGGAGCTTGTAGTGGCTGTGGAGAGGAGCCCCTCCTCATAGTTACAGGACAGAAAGGAGTACTTTTGGTTGCAGGCCAGGAAAGGAGTAAACACCTCGCCCCTTATCATACCACCTTGGAAGAAATGAAAATTTACAGGTCCCTACAAGTATCTCTGAAAACAGCTGCACAAACCCCCCAAAGCCTGGGACAGTACATTCTCCACACTGGAAACAGACTCTTACCTTAACAAAGAGTTTAAAACTCAAGTAATTGGCTGGGATCATGAGCAAGCAGCGCAAAAAGAGTCAGACTATATTATCTTACTTTGGTGAAAAAGAAGATCAAAATATACAACCAGAAGAAGACAACAAAGTCAAAGCTCCTACATCCAAAGCCTCCAAGAAAAATATGAATCAGTCCCAGGCCTTGGAAGAGCTCAAAAGGGATTTTGAGAAGCAAGTAAGGGAAGTAGAGGAAAAACTGGGAAGAGAAATGAGAGTGATGCAAGAAAATCATGAAAAACAAGTCAACAGCTTGCTAAAGGAGACGCCAAAAAATACTGAAGAAAATAACACCTTAAAAAATAGCCTAACCCAAATGGCAAAAGAGGTCCAAAAAGCCAATGAGGAGAAAAATACCCTAAAAAGAAAAATTGGCCAAATGGAAAAGGAAGTCCAAAAGATTACTGAAGAAAATACTTCCTTAAAAATTAGAATAGAGCAATTGGAAGCTAGTGACTTTATGAGAAATCAAGACACTGTAAAACAAATCCAAAAGAATGAAAAATTAGAAAACAATGTGAAATATCTCATTGGAAAAACAACTGACCTGGAAAATAGATCCAAGAGAAAGAATTTAAAAATTATTGGACTATCTGAAAGCCATGATCAAAAAAAGAGCCTAGACATCATCTTTCAAGAAATTATCAAGGAAAACTGCCCTGATATAGTAGAACCAGAGGGCAAAATAGAAATTGAAAGAATCCACAGATCTCCTCCTGAAAGAGATCCCCAAAGGAAAACTCCTAGGAATATTTAGCCCAAATTCCAGAGTTCCCAGGTCAAGGAGAAAATATTACAAGCTGCCAGAAGGAAACATTCAAGTACTGTGGAAACACAATCAGGATAACACAAGATTTAGCAGCTTCTACATTAAAGGACCACAGGGCATGGAATATAATATTCCGGAGGGCAAAGGAGATAGGATTACAACCAAGAATCACCTACCCAGCAAAACTGAGTATAATCCTTCAGGGGAAAAAATGGTCATTCAGTGAAATAGAGGACTTTCAAGCATTCTTGATGAAAAGACCAGAGCTGAATAGAAAATTTGACTTTCAAATACAGGACTCAAGTGGAACATGAAGAGGTAAACAGGAAAGAGAAATCATAAGAGACTTATTAAGATTGAACTGTTTACATTCCTGCATGGAAAGATGATATTTATAACTCATGAGACCTTTGTCAGTATTAGGGTAGTTGGAGGAAAAAAATTATATGTATGTATATGTAGATAAACAGATAGAGGGCACAGGGTGAGTTGAAGATTAAGGGGTCATATCTGGAGAATAAAATTAAGGGATGAGAGAGGATTATACTCAGAGAAGAAGAAAGGGAGAGGTAGAATGGGGTAAATTATCTCACAAAAAAAAAAAACCAGAAAAGAAAAGTCTCTTACAGTGGAAGTTCGGGGAAACGGGGGAAGGTGAGAGGGAATGAGTGAATCTTATTCTCATAGGATTTGGCTTAAGGAGGGAATAACATACACATTCAATTGGGTATGGAAATCTGTCTTACCCTACAGGAAAATAGGGGGAGAAGGGGACAAGAGAGCAGGGGGATGATAGAGAGGAGGGCAGATTGGGAAAGGGGGTAATCAGAAGTAAATACTTCTGAGGAGGGACAGGGTCAAAAGAAAGAATAGAATAAATGGGAGGGCAGGATAGGATTAAGGGAAATAGAGTTAGTTTTTTACAACATGTCTACTATGGACGTGTTTTGCATAACTGCACATGTACAACCTATATTTGCACATGCTACTGGGAAATAAGAAATATAGGAAATGGGGTACAGAAGTCTGTCCTGCCCTACAGGAAAATAGAAGGGGAAGGGGATAAGAGAAGGGGAGAGAGATAGAAGACAGGACAGACTAGGGGAAGGGACATTCAGAATGCGTGACATCTTGGGGTGGGGGGAGGGGGAGATGGGGTGAAAATTTGGAACTCAAAAACTTGTGGAAGTGAATGCTGAAAACTAAAAATAAACAATTTTTTTTAAAAAGCCATTTCCCAAAAGATAAGTAGTCAAAGAATAAATAGAAATTTCACAAAAGAATTAGAAACTATTAATAACCACATGAATGAATGCTGTAAAGCACAAGAAAAATACACATCAAAATCATGGAAGTTTCACTTACTGACAGACTAGCAAAGAGGACAAAAAAAGGAATCAATAACTGTTGAAAGATTTGTGGGAAAAATAGACACCAGTGCATGGCTGGTGGAGCTGTGAATCAGTACCACCATTCTGGGAAGAGTTTGGACTTACAGATAAAGTGACTAAAATTGTCCATATCCTTTGACCCAGGGATTCCACTACCAGGCACATAAACCAATGAGGTCATTGATAAGAAGTCTCCATATACACAAAAATATTCACAGCAGCATTTTTTGTAGTGGCAAAGAACTGGAAACAAAGTTGATGCTTATTAACTGGGGAATGGCCACACAAACTGTGTTGTGTGAAGCAATGTAATGTTAATTACTACGTTATAAGAAATGACAAATATGATGAACATGGAGAAGCCTGGAAAGACTTCTATGAACAGAGACAGAATGAAATCAGCACAGCTAAGAACACAACATGTGCAACAATGTCAGTGCAAAGAAGAACCACAAAACAACCGAAAATGAATTTTGTGGAATTACAAAGAACAAGCTACCCAAATGAGAGCTACAGGAAGACAGCTCCCTCCCTCCTCCTACACTCTTTCCGCAGAGTCCCTTGGGTGGGAACAACGCACATATTTTCAGACTTTTGAACTGTATTAACTGATTTTGCTGATTTGTTTCTCTTCTCCCCCCCCCTTCTTTTTTTTTTGAATTTGTTATACAGGATGACTCTGTGAAAGAGGAAAGGGAGAGGTACTTAGAGGAATCTGTGACACAAAAATAAACTATATCAAAATTTATTCACAGAAAATCTAAAAGAAAGCACATCAGGTGCATATATGCATACAATCAACCTCAATCCCAAAGCCCGATCTGGAGGAAATGCCTTTTCTCCATTTCCAAAAATCATCCCCAGACTGAGGGTCGCCCTTAAGTGAACTTTTCCCATTCAAAACTGACCTTAATATTTGTTAAGCATATTTCATCTGAATCAAAAGGCTGAGATCTATACCCAGTGTGAGATCTATGTGGGTCCCTGCAATCCATTAAGGATAATCCTGCCACACTAGCAAGGAGACTGGAGAAGGCTGTATGAGAAGGATTAATCTAATGCTATTCTGAAGGAAGGGGGGGGGCAGGTCAGGGAGAGAAGTGTGAGAAGAGTAAAGGCAAAATTTGTTTCTAATGGGCCAAAAGCAAAGGGTTTCCTACCGTTAAGCAGAAAACCCATTGAAGCTCAATGCCATATTTCTCAGGAATTCAAGTGCAATGACGTCAAGAAGTATATGGTATGGTTTATACGTGGTTTATAAATTTCTTCATTCCCCAAAGCCTTCAAAAGCTGTTGCACCTGTTGATAAATTAATGAACTGTTCACTCACTACCTTTGATTAATTCTTCAACTCCCCCAGCCACACAGATTATATAATCGATAATCTTTATAAATCTGCTTAGAGGGCAGTGCTAACAAGTCTCTAAACTCTGGGGTAGACATCTTTCAGGGAGCTATCCTGTAATCTCAATGGCAGAAAGATCTCCCTGTAGTAATGCAGATGGGTTCCTGTTCAGTACTTTAAAGCCTTGGAGAGTTTCCAGGTATACTAAGAGGCTAAATGACTAGCCTCAGGTCCCTAAGCCAACATGGGTCAGAAGAGGGGCTAGAACTCAGGTCTTCCCAACCAGGAGGTTAAGCTAGCTTTCCTGTCACTAAATCCCAATCCAAGAGCCATCCCTTCATTAATCAACAGAAGGTCCCTGGGATCACACTGAGCTGTTTCACTGGTGTTTTTGCATTCTGTAACACTGTGCCTGGCTACATGGGAGACACTCAATAAATGGTCTAAAATTCAACAAGCATTCCATCTTAGGTAAGAGAAGCTCTGTATCACAGTCAGATTTCACCCTTCACCCTGGCCAGTCTTTTGGCAAACCCAATAGGTCACAAGATGAAAAGAAATAAAAACCCAACACTAATACTGAACCAAACAACTTGAAATGAACACCCTACAGACAGCAACAGTTCACAATACTTGCACCCTTTTTAAAAGGCACGTTCTTTTCATCTACAAATACTGTACTCCTTATATAGAAATAACAAACGAAACCCAAATTCCTTTTTGCCTAGACCCTCTGCCCAAAAAATGAAACCAAGACAATGCTTCCTCTTCTACACCCATCCTGACATTTACTTCCTAAATATTCCAGAAACACTCATCAGTGTCAAGAAATAACCACCAAAAAGGAAAATGAATTTAAACAGGAAACACTTAATATGAGGACTGCTCCAAGATTAAAGGCTCTGTGGAAGAGTAAAATGCACCAAGAGTGAAAGCCTCAGTTTCTTCATCTGTAAAATGGGGGGGAGCTAGATGGCCTCTGGGGTCCCTGAGACTTCTCCCAGCCTCTTCCTTTTTGCACCCCCCACCGAGCATCAGGGTACCTTTTTCTATTACAGCTTTAAGTTAATTGCAACCAGCCAGGTCCAAGCTTCCCTCCCATCCATCTCATCCCCCATGAAGTCAGTCAAACCAAAGGGGTCAGTGAAAAATTGAATATTTATAGAACAAAGAACAGGGAATCAGGCAGTCATACCCCCTTTCTCCCCATCCTCAGCACAGCCAATGAGTGCAATGCAGAGTGCTGAGTTTGAAGTTGAATGGTCTGAGATCAGATTCACCTGACACTACCTGGGTGATCTTGGGTAAATCCTCTAAGCTAGCTGTGCCTCAGTTTCCTCTTCTGTAAGATGAGAGGTTTGGGCTAAATGGTCTCTCAGTTCTCTGCCAGCTCTAGATTCTTTTTGTTATTTAGCTGTTCAGTCCTGTCTGATTCTTCCTTATGGGGTTTTCTTGACAAAGATACTGGAGTGCTTTGCTGTTTCCTTCTCCAGTGGATTAAGGCAAACAGAAGTTAAGTGACTAGCCCAAGGTCACACAGCTAGTAAGCCTTTGAAGCTGGATGTGAACAGGTCTCCCTGACTCCAGACCCAGTGCTCTACCTATCTGCCTTCGAGCTCTAGAATCCTACAGTAAACGGAAAGAAACACTCATGGTCTTTTCCTACTCTCACAAAAGTGTTCCAGGCAGTTCCTTTATTATAGTTCAACTTGTCAACTACTTTCTTCCACTTCATTAAGATCCAAAGCATACTCTCTGCTTAGCTTTCCCTGGGTGAAGTCAAGTCAATTCAATAAAAGATATGTCAGTGAAAAAAACAGTATCAATGGAGCAAAGCAGAGCGAATACGCTGCCCCTTTTGTCCCTATCCTTGAGCACTGTCAATGAGATGTAGCGTGTGCAAAGAGCCCTGGATTTGAAGTCATCACACTTGGGTTTGAATCCAGTCCCACACTTAACTACTTGTGTGATCTTGGGAAGGCCCCTGAATCTCTGTGCCTCAGTTTCCTCCTCAGTAAAATGAGGGGATTGGACCCCAAGTCCCTGACAGCTTTAGGTCATGAGTAACATGACCAGCTGTGGGCTCCCAGGCCTGAAGGGGGACATAAGAGAAGGGAGGAACAGAGGAAGGACTGAAGGGGAGGGCATGGAGGGAGAGAGAGGAAAGGGGGAGAAGGGGAGAGGTGAAGAGGAGGGAATGGAGAGAGGAAGAGGATGAAGGAAATAGGGATGAAGGGGAGAAAGATGCAGAGGGAAGGGACATAGGGGAGGGGGATGGAGGAGATGGAGGGGAAGGGGATGGAAGGGAGGGAGGTGGGGGGGAGAAAAAGGCTAGGGATGTGAAGGCCAGGAGAATGGAAGGGGACAAAGGTGGGGGAGAGGAGGGGTGGAAGGGGTGGCTCTCCTTTGTCTGGGGGAGGGGAGGAGGGGGGAGGGGGAGAAAGGGGGAGGGGTTCCCACGCGCCCCCGGCCAGGCCCCGGGTCTCACCTCCACAGCCTGGCCCAGCTCCAGGTCGAAGCCCACCACACACACGCAGTGCAGCCAGGCCGAGAAGCCGTCCCAGCGCAGCCGGCCCCGGCCGCGGCCCCCACCTTCCTCCTCCTCCTCCTCCTCCTCTTCCTCCTCCTCCTCCTCTTCCTCCTCCTCCTCCGTCGCGCCTGCCGCTGCCTCCTCTTCCTCCTCGGCCGCCGCCACCTCCTCCTCCAGGGGCCGCCCGGAGCCCGAGCCCGGGTTCGAGCCCTGCAAGCCCCGCCAAGCCATAGGCCGCCCCCGCCGGAGACGGCTCCGGAAGCTTGCCGGACGGCAGGGCGCGTGCGCGGGAGCCGCGGGGCGGAGCTAGGGGCGGGGCCATGAAGACACGTGATCCGCGAAAGCTGCTCCGGGAGGGGAGAAAGAGGAGGGGGAGGAGAGAGAGTGGGAGAGGAAGGAGGAGGAAGGGGAGGAGAGAGAGTGGGAGGGGAAGGAGGGGAAAGAGGAGAAGGAGGAGGAAAGGGACAGCCTCACCTCCTCCCCCCTTCTCCCACAGATAATAAATTGAGAGGAATTGATAGCAGAGGCAGCTGGGGCCTAAACGATCAGGGTTGACCATGCACAAGGCTTGGATTCAAATCCTCCTGCTTATACATACAGTGTGACCCTGGACAAAAGCTTTCTGGGCTCCTGAAGTCTCTTTTGAACTTCAGTTTTCTAATCTGTAAAATGGGGGTGACAACCTCTCTCAAGTACATAGGTTTGCATGGTGGGAAAGAAGAGGGCTATCCTTGGGGTCAGGAAAACATGGGTTCAAGTTCTTTTTCTGACACTTACTGGATTAACCGGCACCTTCAAATCACTTCCTTTCAACACCCAGGGCCATTCACAAAGACTTGAAGTTACCTGAGGCTTGTCTATCAGTTTTGACAGACAGAATTTCCTTATCCAGGGCTCTCTGAAGTGATGACATGACAGCTCCACCAAAAAAGGAAGAAACAAAATGACCCCAGTGGGATACTACCAGAGTCTGCTCTCTGGGGTTCTCTCTTTGGAGGGAGAAAGCAGAAATCTACAATAGCCAAAAAAATGACCATCCTGATACAGCACTTAACCACCTGGGATCTGACCATCTCAAAAAGACGCGTTTGGGGCCAGTTTTAAATGTTGGAAAATGTATCCCTAACCTGAACTAAAATCTGGGAATTCTGGGAACAGGAAAACTCCCTAGCCTAGGTCCTAGGGCACTGAGAGTCTGTTGGAAGATCTCACAGCCAATATTTGTCAGAGGTGACATGTAACCCTGAACCAGACTCTTTCTATATTCACAGTGTCTGTAGACATACAGGAGAAATAAATCTGTCATCCACTAAATCCATCCCTGTCTTCTCTTTTCCAAACTAAATATCCCTGATTCATTCAACCTCAAAGGACGTGATTACCAGACCTTACTCACCCTCACCTGGATGTGACATTGTCTTTCTCGAACTCTGCACGGAAATCACAATATACTCAGCATGGTCCAACCAACGGGGTACAATGGGACCACTATCTCCTTTGATTGGGACTTGATACGTCTATTGAGGCAACCTGGGATCGTGTTAGCTTTTTGGCAGCCGTAAGACACTTTTGGCTCATAATGTCCTTGCAGGCATCTAAACCCCTCATCTCTTTCACTTGAAAGCCAGGCCAGGACTGCTTCGCCAAGAACACGATGGGCTGTGTGCGTGCGTGGCTCTCCTTACCTTCTAGTATTACTAGAGAGTTCTGAATAAAGGCTTAAGAGCTTTCCCAACCTGGCACTCCTCACTAGCCAAATTCCTGGTACTTTCCTTATCTTTTTGGTTCAAAAAGAAGAAAAGAATTTTGTTCCCTGATGGGGCCTCACTCATGGTCTCGTCTTATAGAAGTAAAGCAGAGGAAACCTGAATTTATCCGAGTTCATATTTGTGCTGCTGCGGTTTACAGCTATGAGGAATAAGCTTGTTATTCACAACCCAGCTCAAATTCCCACTTCCCCCAGGGATATGGGGTTACATATTTTTAAAGACACTCTCCTCTTCCTCATCCCTCCCCCTGGGGCCATAACATTTGCAGGCAGAGTATCTCCCTTGGCCCTTCCCCAAATGTCACTGGAACATCACTGCAGTCAACAAGAGTGTGAGTGACCGACGGGAGCAACACCCATGGTACAGTTGAAAGAATAGTGTATGTGAGGTCAGCGCACCTAGGTCCCATCCCAGCTTTGCCACTTATAACCTGGGTGACTTTGAGTAAATTGATTAACTCCTCTGGTCCTCAGTTTACTCCTCTGTAAAATGAGAAGGTTGGATCTGAAAGCCTCTTATGCCTCTCCCATTTCTAAATCTACGATTCTATAACCCTCATTGTAACATCATTACGTACCTTGGCATAGCCCCAATGGTTATATCCAATCTACCTTCTCTAGTCTCCTTGGAACACTCTTATGGTAATGGAATATCAGGACTCATGTCATTCTCTGGTTTCCTGGACCTGGTGCCTGATGGTTTAAAATTCCTGTGGCCTCTTGGGGGATGACCCCTCCCCCCTGACCTCCTGTCAGGGTCTAGTGAACTCCACTGAGTCTGATATGACGCTGTGGAAAGAATGTAGAGTTTGCATATAGTCAGGGGACCTGAGTTCAGAGCCTGACTTTGCTATTATTTACTTACTACCTATGTGACCTGGACAAGTCACTTAACCAGAGAGCTTAAGTGAAACCCAGAGATAACCTCAGTAAATGACCCTTACGATTCTTCCCACATTTCCTATAACTTGCCTTGTATATTTCTATATTTCTTGAAATATAAAGATTTGGAGGATGGGAGGGCAGGAAAGTGAGGCCTAAAACAAGCAAGGTTATTTCTAAACACTATGGAGAAGGGATTCAACCTTTTATTGGGTGATGGAGCCCTCTGGCAGTCTGGGGAAGCCTATGGACTCCTCAGAATAAAACATTCAAATGCATAAAATAAAATACATAAATTACAAAGGAAACCAATTATATTGAACTAAAGATGTATTTTTTCTTCCTTTTCAAGTTCATGGACCCCTTGATATCTACCTAGGGATCAATAGACCCCAGGTTAAGAACCTGGTTTGAGCCAGCTGCCATCCGAAACCACAGCCCTCTCGTTCCTCCTCTTTTTGAGATTTTTTAACCTGTTAGCCAACATAAAATTGCCTCCCCTATTATTAAATCAGTAGAGAATAAGCAAGAGCTATACATGAAAAAAATTGTAATGGTCGGGAGACCTTTGATTTGAGTTCTCAGTTATAGCCCATGCTGAAATCTCCAAAGGACCTGGCTCATCTCTCTCTTCTGCCCCATCGTGTTTCTACGGAAGGTCTCCCTGCATGTGCTTGGGAGTATGAGAATCCAATTAGACCCTTCTCTAGCAGAGCCCTTTGGGGACAACTCCCAATAAAACAAGCCTAACTTGACCAGCTCAGAGTTTTTCTCCCGTTTCCCTGCCTAAAACCTCTAGGTGGTGTCAGACAGCTCCATCCTGGCCCAGGAAGGCCTGAGTTGGCCAATAACTTTCTGCCATTTCAGAGGCTTTTTGCGAGCAGCTACCTGGAGACCTCAGGGCTGAAGGTACTTCCCGTAGGTAAGAACATCTGCATCCCAGCAGCACAGACAGAGAGGAGAGGTGTCTCTGCAGAGGAGAGCATGGCTGCCCTAGGAGAAAGAATGACATATACAATGTGATTGCCCAAGAACCACAGAACCTCCTTCCTTCCATTTGAGTGGGCAGGACACCGGGGATGGTACGGGCACTATCCCCAACACACTTGTCCCAGCATTTATCAAGGATAAATGTGATCCTGCAACTTCAACCAGAGGAGCCTACTAGGGAGAGGGAAGGGGTCTTCTAAAGCATCCTTTCACTACCCAGACAGTCTACACAGAGATCTGAGCCCCTGCTGAGCACTCTGGTTATTATTTGACAAAGCACTTTGGATCACTCTGTTAGAAGATCCTAGCTTCACTTTGATCCAAAATCAGGAGACCAGATCCCTGGAATCTGTCCTTGGGCAGTCTCTTGGACTAAAGCAAATCACCCTGATAACCAATATCAACAAATCCTGTGTCCTTCCTCTCTAGCCTACTGAAGATCCACTTAAGCCTCCACTGGTGCATTCAATCAGCTCTTCACCCTCACTCACACTTCATTATCCAATCAGTTCCCAGGCCACATCTTGCCAATGCTACTTCCACAGCATCTCTCTCATCTTACCTCTTCTCTACCTACACCACAGTCACCTTAGTTCAGACCCTCAATCCATCTCAGGCCACTACTGCAATAGCCTCCCTGCATCCAAACTCTCCTTTCCCCAATCCATCTTCTACACAGTTTCCAAACTGATATTCCTTAAACACAGGTCTATGTTCTTCCCCTGCTCAAGAAGTTTCAATGGCTCTTTATTGTCCCTAGATTCAAATATAAACTCCTTTGGTTGTCATTTAAAGCCCTTCACAATCTGATTTCCAGGCCAATTACATATTACTCCCTCCTCAGGGCCATTTTGGCTGGCTTGCTATAGAAATTCAGCTTAATAAAAGTTTATTAAGCACCTGTAATGTGCCAGGCATATAGATGCTGTGGAAGCAGCTAGGTGACATAGAAGATAAGAGTGCCAGACCTGGAATCAGGAAGACTCTTCATGCATTTGAACCTGGCCACAGACACTTGCTAGTTGTGTGACCCTGGAGAAGTCATTTAACTCTATTTGTCTCAGCTTCCTCATCTGTTAAAAAAAAAGAACAATACTCTGGTGTCTTTGCCAAGAAAACCCCAAATGGTGTCACAAAGAACAACAGCAACAGTAACAACATTCCATGTACTAGAGATACAAAGTAACAAACAAAACTTATTGCTCTGAAGAAGCTTGCATTCTACCAGACTTTCCCCACACGAGTCCAGAGCAAGGAAGACTGGGAAAGGGAGGTTAGTAGGGGTGCACTGACCACAAGGGGGAGTGAGAAAGACTTCACAGAGAAGGCAGTGCAGGAGCTGAGCAGGAAAGGATGCTGAGAGGCAGAGATGAGGGCAGGCATTCCAGGAGCGGGGAGAATGGCACACAGAACATGTGAAGTTTGGATTCAGTCAAAGGGCTGAACCTGAGGACCTAAAGGGCCACATGTGGCCTGGAGGCTGAAGGTTCCCCACCCCTGAGCTATACAAATGCACATAGGCAGGCAAAAAATCAAGTGTAAGGAACAACACGTAATAAACACTCCTTTTGGCTGGAATGTATAGTTCATGATGAGAAATGAAGTAAATCTGGAAAGGTTGGTTG